TCGGCTTGCGAAAGTTTCACCGATCGATCTTATCAGAAAGATACTTAGAGTACAAAGGGTTAGAATTCTGAAAATGCGACGGGATATTTATTTGTATAAACTATTATTTAATTTATCAACGAGCCTACAAATAGGCACTACGAGGTAAATTTGAAAGATTGTACGTAATGTTTATCTATTTTCGAAATAGTTTGCACTTTCCGTTGGTATCACGAAAGCTTCGAATTGAAACGAATAGCTTGACTTTGATGTGAATCGTTAAACTTTGATTGCATGTTATACTTGTTAAACACGTTATGAGAACGTTTTCAAACGGCAAGATAACTTGTCTTCTCTGCTTAACAGGTTAATAGGAAGTTAGGTGAATTGCGTTTACTGGGGCGGGATATCAGTTGACCTTTCTCGAGGGGAATGAATTTTTTTTTCCTATTGCTAGAAGGCGGAGCTACATTAGGGGATAAAAAAAAGGGGGGCAGGAGAAACCATTAACATCGATGAAACTTGCAAAGAAATTCATATATCCTATTAAATACAACATGCTTGGAAAAAAGGAAAATATATTTCGAACAGTACAGAAAGCTGCTAAAACATTCCGCACACTTCGAAAAGACCGACTTTCCATTCTGAAACACCGATAATATGAAACAACTGTAATTTACAACCGCAGTTTAACCATGCATAAATAATATTCCTTCAAACTACGTAACTACTAATAATACTTCCATTAGCGTTGATAAAAAGTAATTTCAACGTCCTTGAGGTATAAATAAAAAACCGTATAAGCAACGAAATAACCGTATAAAGTAAAATTCATCGAGTAGAAAAGTACTTTCTTCGATTACAATTCCAAAGGAAAATTTTCCAAATGAAAGTCAAACTTGGAAGAAGATGCGCTGAGTCGAAGACCGGAGTTCCGGAGCGAAATTAAGCGTCCATGGAGGACCGCCGGTATAAAGTTTCCCGTGGTAAGGACATCGTCAAGGACACGTCGGTGTAAAGGATGTTCAAGGATAGCGTGGCAAATTTCGTGGCAGTCACCGATCTCCGGCTGCCGAAATTCGAACGACCGAAGCGTTCGATCTCGCGGACGCGCAGGATACAATGTCCTTCGTGGCCGAAGATAAGTCAAAAAGAACTGGTGTCAGATCGAACGAGCAACGAAATGAAAATGAAAGACGCGGGAAGGCGAGTGTGCGTGGAAATTCCAAGGGAAAAAAACACGGAGCGTGTCTGGTGAAGTTCCAAAAAATCTCGCCGGATAAAGTTTCGTGTGTAAGGACAACGTCGAGGATACGGACGCGCAAGGATTCCTGTGCCATGCGCATGCCTCTTCATCTTTCTCTCTCTCTCTGTTTCGGCGGTCGGATGAAGAGCAAGAGGAGGAAGAAATAAGAATAAAGCAGGGGATGTGAGAGGGAAGAGGGCTCGAAAGAAGTAGAAGACGAAGAAGAAGAAGAACGAATCGTGGATGTTGGATGAACGAGGAGAGGAATCGAAAGGGAGAAATAACAGACGAAGAGAGGAGACACTCGGCGTCCCGCAGGATTCCCGCAGTCCTTTTAGACGAGGGGGGCAACAGAGAGAGAGAGAGGAGAACCGGAGGAACCGTGGACTGTAGCAGAAGGGCAGAGGGGCAAGGAAGATCTGGTGGGGGCAAGAAGCGCTCGACGTCTCCAATTTGGTTGGCTGTCTCGAGTTCTTCGCCTCTCTCTTCCGCCGCACCTTTTCGCCACCTTTCTCTCTCCCTCGTCTATGAGCCACGTCGCCGAAGGAAGGGGGCTTTGGACCGAAGGTACTAGGTGGGAAAAAGGGAGGAATCGGTGTGAGGAACGAGGAGAGACTGGTTTGAGAAGCGTTCGAAGGAAGAAGAGGGAACGTTCTCGAAGCGAGAGAACGAACGAAGGTTGGTAGGTGGAAAAGAGAAAGGTACGACGCTGGAACGAGCCTTAGAGGGGAAAGGTTGGCGACTGGGTGGGGAAGAGAGAGGGAAGATGAACAGGAGGGAAATGTTGAAGAGAGAAAGTACGATCGGCCGACTAACATTAAGAACGAAGAAGGAGGGAAACGCGGTTAGAGAGAGAGAGAGCGAGCGGTAGGGAGATAGAGTGAGAGAGTGAATACGTAGGAAGAGGTGGAAAAGAGAGAGTAGTATTTCGTCAGCGATAGAGGAGAAGACGGGAGGGGAAGAAGTCGGTGAGAAGGAGAGAGAGTGTCGGTGGTTAGAAAGAGCCGATCCGAGAGTTAGCAAGTGACGGCATAGAGGGGGCGGCGGAGAAGGCTTGGAAGGTAGGGGGAGAGCAGTGCCTTGGCGCGAGCCCGAGGACTCGAAACTCTGGAATTCCAACCGACAGAACAGTGCCGGCGGTCGTACGACGCGGGTCTAGAGAGTGTGTGAATAGGACAGAGTGAGTGAGAAAGAAAGACAGAGAGAGAACGAGCGCGCCGGAAGGAGGGGTGAAGTGGAAGAGGGAGGGAGAGGGACACGAGGTTGAGGACGATCTCTAGCTATTTACAATCGCAGTTCGAAGGATAAACCGCTCTCGTCTTGTGCCCGCGTCGTCGTAATACCACAGTCTCACGTTC